TGTGTGCCACCACCGCCTGGCTCATGTTCATCATTATTTTATTATTTTACTTTTATTGTACTCTACATTTTCTCTGCTCCCTCCCTGCCTCTACCCTCCCCCTTAACCCTCCCCCGAAGTCCCCATGCTCCCAATTTACTCAGGAGATCTTCTCTTTTTCTACTTCTAATATAGTTTAGATCTATGTATGTCTTTGTTAGGGTCCTCATTGTTGTCTAAGTTCTCTGGGATTGTGATTTGTGGGCAGGTTTTCTTTGCTCTATGTTTAAAAACCACTTATGAGTTAGTACATGTGATAATTGTATTTCTGGGTCTGGGTTATCTCATTCAAAATGATGTTTTCTTGCTCCATCCATTTTTCTTGCAAAACTCAAGATGTCATTATTTTTTTCTGCTGTGTAGTACTCCATTGTGTAAATATACCACATATTCCTTATCCATTCTTTGACTGAGGAGCATTTAGGTTGTTTCCAGGTTCTGGCTATGGTAATCATGTTCATCATTTTGAAGTGAGTTCTTGGATAAAAGATGCTCTCATGCTGTGCAGCAAGTACTTATCAGCTGACCCATCTCTTCAACTTCATTTGTTTCATTTTTTGCAATTATTATCGAAGTGTTTGTTTTCTTCAGTTCCTCCTCAGGTGATTTGTTATCAATATATTCGTAAACTGTTGATTTATATATTAACATTGTATACTATCATTTGTTAATCAGCTCAAAGTTTTCTACCAGAAATTTCTATAAGATTCTACTAGAATCTTCATTTTTTTAAAATGTATAGGATCATGTCACCTTCAAGAAGAATTTACTTCTTCCTGTCCTATTTATATGACTTTAATTTATTTAATGATATAATAAATATGTATTATTACTCTAGTAAAGATTTTATGACAATATTGGATGAATGAAGAAAGAAGAAATTTTTGTGTTATTCCTCAATAGAGTGAAAATTTTTGTAGGTTTTCTTCATTGAGTAAATGCTGACTATAGATGTGATATATATACTCTTATTATGTTAAGAAATGTTTCAAAAACCCATTGCCATTGTTCTTGAGTTCTCAGTAGTCCTCATTGTCCACTATGTTCAGCGAGACCGGTTTTATCCCAGGCTTTTTCAGACCCAGGCCAGCTGGCCTTGGTGAGTTCCCGATAGAACATCCCCTTTGTCTCAGTGTGTGGGTGCACCCCTCGCGGTCCTGAGTTCCTTGCCCGTGCTCTCTCTCCTTGTGCTCCTGATTTGGACCTTGAGATTTCAGTCCGGTGCTCCAGTGTGGGTCTCTGTCTCTGTCTCTGTCTCCTTTCATTGCCTGATGAAGGTTAATATTCAGGAGGATGTCTATATGTTTTTCTTTGGGTTCTCCTTCTTATTTAGCTTCTCTAAGATCCCGAATTATAGGCTCATTGCCCTAGACAGAAATCTTTAATAATTAATTAATTAAAAAAAAAGAAATGTTTCACTAGTTCCAGGACAGGACAAAAAGCAAGCTACGGAGAAACCCTGTCTCGAAAATAAAAAAAAAAAAAGTTCTTCCATTATTATTTTCTTCAAAGCTTTTATCAATAGAGTATTTTAGTTTCCATCAAAGACCTTTGTGTAACTATTGAGATATTTATGCAATTTCAGTCATTGAATGTAGTCATAAGGCGCTTTGCATTTATTGATTTGTGTTTTTTGAGCAGTCCTTGCATCCTTGAAACAAAGTCCATTTGGTCCTGGTAAGAACTGACTGTCTGAAAAAGTCTCAACCATGTTCAGAAATAGTGTCAAGAATCGATAAATTGTATTACATGAAATTAAGAGACTTCTGCACAACCAAAAAAAGAGTTTTGTGAAGAAACAACCTACTCTGTATGTCTTTATTTCATAGTCAATATTTCATCATTCTATGGAATATTTAGTTCAGTTATCTAATGTCAGTAGTAAATGCTATAAACACAGGGCTCTTTTGTGTGAAGCAAGACTTTGTTAACACTGCAAAGTTGAATGTGTTGTTGAATTCGGTTTGCAATTCTTCACTGAAAACCTAGCCAACTGACCAGAGCTGGTGATGTCCTGGCTCTAAGAGCTTACAATCACTGCTTTACTCAACGAGGATAAACCCCAACTGCAGTCTAAATATTTGTCCTTATCCCCACAGGAAAGTGTTGTTCTCAGCCCTCATCAAGAAATAATCTGTCTGCAATAGGCAAAGACCATTTTAGAAAACCACAATTAATCAAAATGTAGATTTTTAGAGTCCAGCACTAACAGATACATCTACAATACAACTCACACATTTAAGACTCAGTAATCCTTGTGGAAGAGGGGGGTTGAATAATTTTAAGAGGCAGAGAAAAAAGGTGTTTGCTGTGAGATTGTGTCTCCCAGTAATAACAGAAGTGCTACACCCATATAGTCTTACCAACATGATTGGTCTGAACAAGGAAACCAACAACGTTGATGCTAATGTGGAAGAGGAAAGCCAGGAGGCCTCAGCACTATACAAAATACTACAGATGACCAAGGATTAGTGGGTGTGAAGAAAATATTCTTTTTCATGGAAGAGGACACCAACTGATTATCCAATAGCAAATGTTCATCCTGAAAACATACATGCAAGCAACATTATACATATTGGGCAGGGTTAGTTATGTACTTAGAAACACACACATATACACCATCAACAATGAATGAAAAAAGGAGCCATGAGTTTGAAAAGATCAAGAAAGGATATATGGGATGGGTTAGAGGGAGGAAAGCATATAATTATATTATAATTTAAAATTTAAAAAATTAAAAATGTGGCATGTATGACCAGAGAGTGAGTCATAATTTATTTTTGTTCTTGTTATATATATTCAGCTTGGATAAAATGAACTTGGTATCATTTCTTTACCTTCTATTTTATGGGTAGTTCTATGGAGAGTTGCTTAGTTCTTCAAAGGTTTCATAGAATTCAGTAGAGAATACATCTATACTTGAACTGTTTTAGCTGGAAAACTCTAATCTCATTGCTCACTATAGATCTATTAAAGTTTCTATTCTCTCAGCTCAATTCTGGTATGTCAAAGTTTTCTCTTTCTGAAATATCATGGTTTTTGCTTTTTCAAAAAGTCATATTGCTCTCAATACAGTTGTATTTCTATTAACTGATATTAAAAACATAAAAACAGACTCAGAGAACTTTTAATGCCATTAACAACTTTTTCCTTGCTATATGTGAATATTCTCACTTTAACTCATTGTTAATATAGCATTAATGTGATCTTAACATTATAATATTCCAAGGAATAGTTACATTGGTCCTGTTATATATGTTCATATCATTTCTATCACATACACACAAAGTATTTCACCAAGTTCACAGATCAAGATCCAGAAACAAAAGAACTAACTTAATTTCTTAAAGCTATATTCCCAATTATGTCTCATATTCATTGTCTCCTAAATTTTAATGAGTACTAACTGTCCTTTATTAGACTGTGGTCTGGAGCAAACCATTGGTCCTCTTTAGAACTGATTTCACAAGTTCTGAGGTAAATGTTTCAACAGAACAATCTCTGGGGTGCTTGTTAGCTACAAACCCTCATTCAGTACCAGACAAAACTGTGTTTTCTTATGAATAAATAATATGATTTCTCCCAGAAAATGGCATTCAGTGCTTCTTAAAGACAGCAAGGAGAAGTAGAGATGCCTGGTGAGTAAAGAATGAGAAGGGCAACATATACAAGGAGAAGGTGAATCTGTTACCTGCTAAAATGCTTCTATAAACTCTTTTGGGGGAAAATCATAAAATACTGTATGTTTAAAAACCAATAGGAATTCTGTTCCAACTTCAATACAAGGTATTAAATTGGGAAGGGCCTGACAAAGACACCTTAAAATATTAAAGACTTAATAAATTCTTTATACTTTATTATGTTAAATAGAATATAATATTATTTAATTATGCTATAAACAATTATTATAAGACAGTTTAATGATTTGAGTGAATTTATCATTTTTATTCCTTAAACTCCATCTAGTATTATGATAGCCTTAGCTATCTATCTAATTACTGAGTAATTAGAAAATGCTATACTATGTCTTGTATTTACTTATTACTTGCACAATTTAATAAGAAACAATAAAAACAATCTTAATATTTTTGGTATATAAAAGTGATACAGCATTTTTGTTGGCTCAACAAGATGAATAATTTACCACTGTAATTCTGTTAAATAACTGCAGGATTTGCATTTTTTACTTAGAGAAACTTTCTTCAAAACATAGCTGTGAAACAGCTTTGGCTTCAAATGGAAAGGGTACAAAAAAGCACCTCATAGCTAGAATCCGGTTCAAGAAGTTTATGGTGGTGAACAGCAGAAAAGATGAAATGTTTCAATAAGTCCCTTAGGCTGATTTAGTTAGCATCCACAAAGTAGAATAACCTATACATCACATACCCTTTGTTAGCTGATTGTTTAGAATAGATGTATGAGTCACTGAGTTTTATTTTAGCAGTCGGGCAATGCAATTCTCCTTTTGCCTGAAATATTAAAATGCAGAAATATGAGCAGTAATGACAAATCTCATACAGGATGCTAATCAACCACTGTGATGGATCAAGACATTCTTTAAAACTTGTCATTCCATCTTTCACCTTGGTCAGCACAGATGATAAATTACCACATATAAAATTTCTATTATATTAATCAGCCACCTATGGCAAATAATTTTTAAAAGGTGTGTGCAGTATTAGAGCCGTCAAAGAGAGAAAGCTAAAAAAAGAAAAAGAAAAAAAAAGAAAGAAACCTGACATTTGAGAAAGATATAAAGAATGCTATTCTGAAAGATTTCACATACAAATGAATCCCTCTGGGAGCCAGACAGGGAGGAACACACACACACACACACACACACACACACACACACACACACACACACACACACACACACACACGTGTGTGTATACATATGTATGTAACAGATATTTATTTAATTTTTACTCTTAGACATGGGAGAGAATTAATGAGGGTACCTGCAACAATGCTGGCAAGCTGCTGGGTTCTAGAGATAGGGTATATGCTGCGTGCTTGAATGATTGCAGAAGCAATTTTCTTGGCATGCTTCTCCTCTCCATATGCTCTAAAGATGGATGCAAGTGCTTGTTGATCTAAAGCATTCACAACATCAGCAGCAGTGGGCATGTCAGGATACCTGTGCAAAAAGAGCCAACCAGTTTACTGACACCATTTTCATTGACGAGAGTTGATACTTCAGAGTACTGGAAAGATGAACACAGGCATTTGTCACACATTGCCTAGAAGAAATTCTGAAGCAGACTGAAATAGCACACAAATGAAAGAGTTTCTGTTTTACATAGTAATCATTATGGCAAGAGGAACCTGAAGCATTCATTGAGGTCAAGGAAATGGGAGGTTATAGTATTTTGTTAATCTTTAACTTTCATTTATAAAAAGTTATTAATGATCTTGTAGCTTTCTTTCTCTTAAGATAAAAGAGAAGAATGTTTAGATTTAACTTATTCAAAATTTAAGTTACTGATTGAAATATTCTTTTTTTTTTTAGAATAGGAGACACAATGCTGACAGATGATAGCTGATCAAGTCTAAACGCTAGTGAGTAATCTATGTCAGCAAAAAACATATGTGGAACAACTGCAAAACCCAACTTAGAAAGTCTACACAAGAAGACAATAGGCAGCTTCCCCGTGCAATAACTAAAAAGACCTAATGCTAACTGTGCATGTTTTGAATATTTGATATTAGCTCAGGCATTAGTGAAAAATGTCATCATGGATTAAAGCTTCAAAATAAACGGTACTGACTGAAAAAGCCTAAATATTATTTTGAAGTATGGCACAAAAAGAAATTCCAAGTTCTGACCACACAGACTAAATTATACTAGCATAAAATAGTGTTCGCTGTCAGATCATTCTAGTTTATTTCCAATTAGAGAAGTGGGTCAAAGCATTCTAACTGATGAGCTAGTCATGACTTGACTTACTAGGAACATCTAACAGTAGTACAGTTACTACTCCCACACAAATATGTTGGATTATTAGTTTCATACTGTGAACAGTCATGAGTTCCAAAGATACAGGAGCATTAAGACCTGAGGTTTAAGCGACATTGAGGTTGAAAAACATCTCAAATTCTCTTGGAAAATTATTACTTTGTTAACACGCTTGTGCATTCAGGAGAAACTTTGATTCTTGTACTCCATTTTCCATGTCTGCTTGTCTATCTCTCAAACGCGTAGTCTCTTTCTCTTATTTTATTCAGGAGTAAGAAACATCATATTCCATGTATGATGATTTTATTTTTCATTTTGGCTTACTTTTATTTATTTATGTATGTTTTAAATTGAAATGTGATTATACTATGTCAACTTTCTTCACCCTAGCTCTTCCCACCCTCTCAAACTGTCAGCCTCATTTTCTTTTGAAGCCCTGTACCAATGAATGTTTTATATAGTAGCCCTAACTTTGATCTCAGTGGTTTGCTTTTTTTGGCTTGCAAAATGAAGATCCTTTCTTTTAAGGTTGTAGTGAACTACAAAGGAATTGCAGTCTTGTTATATTGGATAAAGTTTTAAATGTAGTAGACTCTCAATTTTAATCTTGGAAATGAATATAACAATTATTATCTCAATTATTAAGTTGTTGGGAGAGGAGGCCCACATAACATAGTAAATACAGACAATATAATGACTGGGTGATAAACATTCGTGACCTTCAGATATTTCCAATTCATATATTTGCCAGCCATCATTTTGACTATAAAAGACAAAAATCCCTGCTAGATTTTACCTACTTATGAATTTAGTTACCCAAGCCACTGCCCACTGGGGACAATCCTTGCTATTCAGACCTTTAGCTCTATTAAGGCAACTATAAGACAGAATGGATGGATTTAGTTTTTCATAACTTTCTACATTTATTTATTTATTTATTTATTTATTTATTTATTTATTTATTTATTTTGGATTTTTCGAGACAGGGTTTCTCTGTAGCTTTTGGTTCCTGTCCTGGAACTAGCTCTTGTAGACCAGGCTGGCCTCGAACTCACAGAAATCCGCCTGCCTCTGTCTCCCGAGTGCTGGGATTAAAGGCGTGTGCCACCACTGCCTGGCTAACTTTCTACTTAAAAAAAAAATTAAAATAACATTTTGATCAGGTGGCATTTAATGAAGAAAGGTATGATATTATCTTACTGTTCCATTAACACAAAATATTTATGTGGAAGTTTCCACAATGCTAGAAAACAAAAGGAACATCACTCTGGAAGTTGGCAGGTGAGAAATCTGTATTAGAACAGGCATTAATATGATGAACAAGAAGCATTGCTCCTCTATGAAAACACAATTTTTAACCCTTGTCAGTCCAAAGATTTCCTTGACTCACTACAACCAAAGTCATAAGAGAAAGTCTTAACTTGGGTGCCAGTTTATTATCTCCCAACAAAGACTATATCTGCTAAAAGAAGTAGCCTTTCAAGTTCCTGAGGCTTGGAATTCCTCTCTGCTACATGAGAAGATAATATAATATAAAAGCAGTGGCTGGTGAGATTTGGGTAAACACAGAGTTAAGACTCTACTGTGATCCAGTGTGAAAATGACTCTTGTGAGTGTCTTTATCATAGGAATCTATCACTTTCTGGGGTTGGATAGATCACAACACTGTGTGTGTAAATATAATTTTTCCCCCATGGCCTACCTACTTGTATTTGCAGTGCAGTGCACATCTTTGTATGCCTGACTTTCATTTTCCCATATATTCAAGTAAACTAATTTTCCTGTTCTGAATACTCATATAGGTCATAGTCCATATGATCTNATATATTTTAAACTATAATTTCAAACATAAGGTATTGACTTGAGGGCTTAATTCTCAGGAACAATCTTATTTTGAAGTTGCTGAGGAGAAACTCATGGATGTAGATTTACAAATTAAAACTTGCCCAAAAAGCTTTACATTGAGAATATGGTAATTCATTGCTATGAATTAGATGATTTGTTCACTGTATTACAGAAAATACCTTTCTTCCTCAGCAAGACACGGGAAGAGTATAGATTTATTCAACATTTTATTATTATACAACCCCACCTTATTTCCAAAGTTGAGAATGTCTGATCTTCACTATTAGATGCTAGTTGTTAAAGGATTTATTTTATCATGATATTCTTAGTTGTATAAATGCTAATATTGCAAATAGAAGAAGGCAAAAGATTCGGAAACAATACAATTCTAATAAATATGTCACTATGCAAATTTAGCACTCATATCAATACTCATATCAAGGTAAGAGGCCATATATAAGTATTTACCACAGGATATTAATGGCATGACTCAATGTCCACACAAAAATCAGGGGTAAACTTTGGAGATATAGGTTATTCTGGCATGGTACCACTAGTAGGTTCAGATGTCAGTACTAATTTAAGCTTTAAAATCAATGTAGAAAAAGAAACTTTTCCTAATCTTTCCTACAATGCAACATAATGCCATTAAATGGATTGTGTGTCTATGTGAATTGAATTATGGTAAATAAGCATTAGTATATTTACAGCGCCAAAGAATGAAGGGGAGTTACAGGTAACAGTCTGTGTTGATTTATGTCGTGATGTAGGATGCAGTGCCATACACTGCAAATACTTTAGAGAAGCTACAACTAGGGTGACTGCAGAATAGATAGAACACAAACAGAATCGCTGGCCACAGGAATCCTGTCAGACTTTTTTTTTTGTTGTTGCAGCATTATAAACGAATATCAATTAAATCCAGCTACTCTTGCTTCTTACAGATACATAGTTAGACATGCACAAAAATGAAGCAATTGTTTCAGCATTAATTTTTTCCAAATTACTATTAAAAAGCCATATTTTCGGTGAAAAAAAATCCCATAAAAGTTGATTTCCTCATTCTGAATACCTCTTCACTATATTCTGTAAAGACAGTAAATATATTTCAAAGCTAAAGAAATACTGAAGTCTATAATGAGCACCAAACACAGCTGATTTACTATGTATGGACAGTGCTGGATGTGGGAGTATGCTGGGAATTTTTCAGTCTTCAAGGAAATTAAATTCAGAATGATTTTAAGAAATTGATTTTTTTATGTGTGGTAAGAAGAAATGCTTTTTAATACCCACCTGTCTCCATCCATCCTCATGTCCAAGGGACCATCCTTCCGAAGAGAGAAACCCCGCTCAGGAACATCAAGTTGCATGGAGGAACACCCCAGATCCAAAAGAACTCCATCGATAGTCCCTGGCTGCACTCCAGCTTTTAGTAACAAAGCCTCTGCCTCGCTGAACTGGCCTAACAAAGCCTGGACCTGTTTCCTGTGAATAAACCCAAGATAGGAGAATTCTGCTGTGTTAGTCTTTCATTACATTTCTGACCAATGGAAGGGAGTGCATCCTATCACTGAATGATTTACCCTAAATAAATACACAAAGTATCATGAACTTTCTTAGCATCATACTTTTTGAGAAGGTATATATTTAGAAATCAGAAAAATAGCCCTTTGTCAGGCTAGGTTTTTATTCTTTAAAAATTTCTTACATTCATGAGTAAGAAAGGCAGCACATGAAATTCTTACAAAAGAATTACTTAACTTACAAGCAAATTCAAATACAGTAGGCATAAAACAAAAATAATATTAATAAAACATGCATACACATCATGAATGCTATTCAATCACATAAAAGGAATGAATCCAGCTATGTGTGCAACAATGCAGATGGAAGTGGAAATCACTGTGCCAGGTGAGTGAAGACTGTGCAGGAGAACAGTAATACATAACTTGCATTCATCTGTGAAATATTAATACACTGATCTCAAAGTTGAGGTCAGTATGGGTATCTTGCAGTGATGAGAAAAGAGTTGGGGAAAAAAGAAAATAAGAAAGGTTGCTCAATGTATAGTTACTAAACCATAGTTAGAGAAGAGAAAGATTTTCAATGTGCTATTGTATTCCAATTTAAACATTACAGAGTGTATACATGTATTCCATACTACCCCATTTACAGGTAGTTTTTAGGTACCTGTTAAATACAAATCTCTAAGTAATAAAAAGAACCATGAGAAAATGTTTTTTTTTATTTATTTTATTGAGAATAAGAAAAAAAAGTTTCCGCCTCCTCCCAGCCTCCCATTTCCCTCCCCCTCCCCCACTCTTCTCCCCCTCCCCCCTCTCTTCTCCCCCTCCCCCCACTCCTCTCCCCCTCCCTCTCCTATCCAAAGAGCAGTCATGGTTCCCTGTCCTGTGGAAAGTCCAAGGTCCTCCCCCCTCCCTCCATGTCTAGGAAGGTTAACATCCAAACTGGCTAGGCTCCCACCAAGCCAGAACATGAAGTAGGATCAAAACCCCTTGCCATTGACCTTGGCTTCTCATCAGTCCTCATTGTTCGCCATGATCAGAGAGTCCGGTTTTATCCCATGCTGTTCCAGTCACAGTCCAGCTGGCTTTGGTGAGCTCCCAATAGATCAGCCCCACTGTCTCAGTGGGTGGGTGCACCCCCCGTGGTCCTGACATCCCACTCCCAGTATTTGACTGTTATGCATGTTTATCCGGTATGTAGGACAGGGGTATTATGTAGCTCCTTACGTCAGGAATAAAATAAGGACAGGAATAAACAACTACTGAAGAATTCTTCTTCCAACAAGAATTTCAAACTGGGCATGAAGCATTCAGATTCAACAGACAGGAAGAAGTTTGGATCACCATGTTGCCATTCCAGTTCTCCTTCCTATGCAAAGGAAGCTGCTTCCCTTTGGTTTCAGCAGAGGCCTTAAGGCAACAATAATCCATTTTGGAAGGAGAATGAGTAAAGAGAAATTGGGTAACATTTTGAAGTTTTCTTTCTCCCCTCTGAATGTGAAAGGAATGGGCTTGTATTTTAACAACATTAGGCAATTCACATTTAAAGCATTTACTTATATCTTATGCCATTTAAGGGAAAATTCACAGCTCACTGGTACTGGTAATTTTTTTCTCAAATTCTAGATGAAAGGGTAATTTCTGGATTACTCTTAGATTACATGCCAAATATTGACTGCATTTCTGCTGTGGCAATTATTATGCTATCTGGCGAATATACCAATGGGAGAGGGAAACTAGTAAGTCATGTTTTTTGAGCTAACAGCTGAGAGGAACAGATACAATTTACAGAGCAATCTGGCTGGAGCTAATGATAGAGCGATAAATAAATGTGCTACCTGTTTTAGAAAAATATCAATGCTAATAAAACTGTATTGCAAAAGCGAAAAAAAAAACCAATAAAGTTTCAGGATTGGAACACATTTCACTAGTCACTTATGCTAATGCTCAAATTTGGATCTTTCCCTACTCCAATATCATAAGCAGGGGCTGAACAAAAGGAATTATTCTGTTGTAATCACCTCCAGATCCCAAACTTAAGCTGCAGAGATAGTCAAACATCCAGCACTCCTTACTGGATATGGATGATTAATCACATCTACTCACAATTTTGTGGACAAGGAAACAAAACCATGTGAGAACACATAGAGGAAGGAGCAGTATGTTGTCAAAGTACATCCTTGTTGTCACAGAGGATGTGATTGGCTTGTTTGAGTAGCTGCACAAAATTATTGGGAACTGAAGCTACTGATCAAAGAAAAACAGAAATAGAGCCCAAGAGATCCCTCTGCCAAGAAAAGATGCTCAGCTAGGGAATCTTACCTTCAAGAGCACAGTAGGAAGGGAAATTTGTGGTTAGGACACTTAAGCAAACAAGTGTTCTTCATATACTAAAGTAATCACCAAGTATTTAAATATAAGAAACACTGCTGCACAGAACAGTAAAATCCTTACTGGATTTCAAGCTTGGAAGCAGCTTGACAGTGGGGTTCAGTGAAAGCCCATAAGGAAAAAAAGAAAGGAAAACCTAGCTGATGGGGTGTTGACTTTGGTCACATGTAACTTTGGCCCTGTTGGTGGCTGTAAAGCCACAGATAATTTTTTTTATGAATTTGTACTCCAAAAGTTGGGAGCCAGATGAAGCATAAATAACAAAAACCCATAGACAGATTTTGAGTTCAATTTAAAGATCAGAAAAGCAAAGCAGCTAAGCCACTAGAAAGCAATTACCATTACAAAATCTTCAGACTAAAAAGAGAGTAAATTTCTGTCTCATTCCACTTTATATTCCTCTCTAGTGCTGGAATTAAAGGTGTGCACCATCACTGCCTGGCCTCTATGGCTAACTATTATGGCTACTGAGATTAAAGGTATGTGCTACCACTGCCTAGTCTGTATGGCAGACTAGCTTGGCTAGCTTACATTCTGATCTTCAGGCAAGCTATATTTATTAAAATGCAAATAAAATATCATTATATAGATACTTTTTCTATGATTTTGTTGAAACTATTTTCTTGGTCTTTCAGCTGGGATTTGTCTCATTTTTCTAATTCTATTATTCTTAGGCTTGGTCTTTTCATAGTGTTTCAGATTTTTTTGGATGTCTTGTGCCAGGAATTTTTTGATTTAATAATTTCTTATTTCCATTTTCTTTGTATACATTTTAAATGTATCTATATAATGGGGTTGAAGACTATATAAATGTAGTTACTTTCCACTCATGACTTGGCCAAGCTATTTATTATAAAAGACCTAAGCTAGTTAGAATAGGATATTTGTACTTATTGTATATAATTTCATAGTAGGTTTAGAACTCTCTTACTTAAACAAAAGGGGGAGGTGTTGCGGGAGGTCCTTCCGCTCCTCCAGCTAATAGCCGCTGAGATACCAGCCCATTGGGGCATGGTCTCTCTCCTTTTAAAAAAGCGGCCACTTCCCTTCTCGCTCTCTCTTACTTCCTGCTCTGCTTCTGGCGACTAGACTCCCTTCCTGATTGCTCAGAGGGCTGTTGTCTGGGAAGGTGATCTGTAAATTTTTTCCCCTTTAAATAAGTAACCAGAGAGGCTGTGGAGGAAGGGGTACCCTCATCCATTGCTGGTGGGAATGCAATCTTGTGCAACCACTTTGGAAATCAGTGTTTCGGTTTCTCAGGAAATTCGGGATCAACCTACCCCTGGACCCAGCAATACCACTCTTGGGAATATACCCAAGAGATGCCCTATCATATGACAAAAGCATTTGTTCAACTATGTTCATAGCAGCATTATTTGTAATAGCCAGAACCTGGAAACAACCTAGATGCCCTTCAATGGAAGAATGGATGAAGAAAGTGTGGAATATATACACATTAGAGTATTATGCTGCGGTAAAAAACAATGACTTCTCGAATTTTGCATGCAAATGGATGGAAATAGAAAACACTATCCTGAGCGAGGTAACCCAGACCCAAAAAGATGAACATGGGATGTATTCACTCATAATTGGTTTCTAGCCATAAATAAAGGTCACGGAGTGTATACCTGGTGAACCTAA